TGATAAGTAAGTTGTATCATGGGTTATAAAAAAGATCCATGACATATCTTCTCTTTCTATGAATCTTATCTCACAAGAAGAGTATCACTGAATGAAGAAGTCTTTGCTTTCATACAGTTCTAATTCCACACTTGAAAACCAAGTCTTGGGTTTGTAGATTTTCATTTTTACCCTGCAGCATAATAAATATGATGATCTTCAATCTACTTTTAACAGTGTAAGACCATTACTTGGGTCATAAAGGGAAAACAATGCCTAAGAATTCAGTCCATATTTCTTAATGAATTCTTTGCCTTCCACCACTGTGAGATCTCTAACATAGCAAGAATACCAAACCAGTATGACAGTAGTATCATCATCTGCCCAGACGACATATATGAACCACAAGAAGAGCGTCTCCTGGAATGAGACCAAGGGACCTTAGCACAAGTAAAATTAAGATGATGAGTAAGAAAACAGACCCAACGATTAAGCAGCACAGCAAGGCACCAAACAGCTGGTGAAAACTGGATTTCATTACCATAATATTAAAATATCTAAACTAGCAAACATCCTGGGAAAAATTGTTTAGGGTCACTGGGAACAAGGAAATGGAACAGATGGGAGCAAACTGGAATGTCTGTTCTGTTGAAATGTTTGTTTTATTTTTTCCAAGTCTGATGTATTATACAGTTATAGTAACACACTGATTCTCAGGAACCAGTCTTAGCCACTAAATTGACTAACGGACTTAGCATCCATAAAAATCTATTAAGTAAATATGTTTAGCATTGATTGAGGGCCCAATTACCTAAAAAAATAGAGTAATTTCCCCCAAAGCCTAGCCAGCCCATGCATTACTGGTGGAAGAGAAGTAGATTTCAAAGAACAGAAAAAGCTGCCACTTGATGACTACATTGATCTCCAATATTTCACCAGTTTGTGGAGCAAAGTATGCCTTTTGATGGCTGTGAATTGCCCTTTTGTGATCAATGGTGGAACTTACAAGGTCTTTTTCAGTTACCTTCAGTTTTTATTTTGAATGGCAAAAATCACCACCTTAGTCTAGAGTAACTAATAACTGCTACTCACCCCAAGTCCCAGGAAAGCCAAAAATAAGACTACATGCCTCTTATTTCTGGCAGAAAAGATGATTATAGAAATCTGCTTAACTGTACTTAAGAAAATGTGCTAAACTTACCTTATTAAAAATCCCAAGAGAATTTCATCAGAATAATAGAAAAAGCTCATCACAAACATACAAACAAAAAAATGGCAGTACTTTGCCCTTCTACATATTTTACTACCTTAGGGAACAATAGGGCTAATATGGGAAGCATATGTAAAATATTTATGAAAGGCAAAGTAATTGAGATAGTAAACTCATAAAACAATAATGTACTATATTCAGCATCATGTACAAAAATGAGAATATTTTGAAATGATAAAACACATTGGCAAAAGCTATAAATGCAATTGTATAAAAGAAACAGAAAAATACAAGTTAGAGTTCCCTTCAACACACTAAAAATTGTTTAGGGGAATAAATAGCTACAAAAAGAGTCTTGTGAGTTTTGCTGTTGTTATTTCTTTTAAGAAGGCCTTAAATTTGTATTATCTTTCTCTCAAAGAAATCAGACATTCTTGACATACGGTGTTCCCTTTAATGTCCCTATGAAGCAGGTAGATAACTCAAAGTTATTCTATTAACTTCCATAATGATATCCATGGGGTGCAGAGTAGAAGACTGTTTTAAACTAGAACTTGATGATTTTCTGTGCATCTAGCCTTGTACTCCTTACCTAGATTGTCAAAATTCACCCAATTTTTAAGAAATTAGAATGCAATGAGCAAGCCAACTATAAGAGTACACTTCAAAGAATAATATTACATCAAGTTCCACAACAGGATGGGGAACATCAGAGTAGGTTTCTGATAAAATCTTAAATGCAAGTAGAGAGAATATTAGACTAGTCCAAGGTACATGGCTAGGGGCATTGGCATACAAGTCCTTAGTTCTCCTAGACTTACCCCCATGACACATTTCTCTTCAATCCCTGAAAATGAAAAACCTGCACAGAAATAATAAAACTTGATCCTGGAAAAGATAAAGAGATTAGTCAAAATATCAAAGGCAACATGCCTGCTATGGGAGCTCACACCTGAGCCAGTTCTCTTTGCAAGGGTAGTTTGATGGTCATTGCTACAATGTGGCTTGAAAAACAGAAAAGCCCATCTGTCTGAAAATAAGGCTGCCCACAGGCCCCACATTTGCTGATCATTTCTTTTAGTTAAAAGATTATTTCCTTCTTGAAACTTCTATTGGTTTCTTCATTCTTTGAAAAGCAAACATTTATATGATCATTCAGGAAATATTTATAGAGAGTATATTCCATGGCCAGCACTAGGGATAAAAATAAACAAAATAAACAAGCAAAACCATTGCATATTTTCTGATCAAGAATGTAGGGCACTAACAAAAAAAATAATAACAATAAGCAAAAAAAAAAAAAAAAAACAGGCAGCAACAATTGAATTGGCTGAGTTTCAAAACTATGTTTTGTGAAAGAAAGTAACTGACTGGCCCTATTTTAGATCAAATGGCCTGATGACAGCTTGAGAAGATGATATGGATGACAAAGAGGAGTCAGATACATGATCATAGGGAAGAACATTCCTAGCAGAGGCAAAACCTACTGCAAAGGCATAAAGTTGAGAAACAGATTCGCTGTGTTTCAAAACAAAAGCAGGAAGGGAAAGAGAAAATTTGGAACAAAGTGAACACAAAGATTGGTGAAGTCCAAATCACACTGGGATTTATGAGCCAGCATAAAGAGCTAGCACAAAGGGAAGCCATCAGAGGTGTGTAGGTAGATGAGTGATATTTAAAAATACTGTGACTGCTGTACAGAGAATGGGTCACAAAAAAGGCAAGAATGGAAACAGACATGCCAGTGGCACAGCCATGGCATTGGTCAGGAGAAAGATAATGGTGGGTTGGCCCAGGTGGTGGATGCAAAGATAGAAGTAGTTGGTATAAATATAGAGTTGATTGGACCTGATGATAGGTTTGACGTGGGGGCAGGAGCAAAAAAAGAATGAAACATAAATTTTAGACTTTTGGTTTGGGTAATTGGCCAGATGGTGAGATCACTCACTGAGGCAAGGAAGGCCAATTGGGGACAGGTTAGGGAATCAAGAGTTCTGCTCTAATCACTGATTTTTAAATGTGTATTAAACATACACATGAAGATGTCAAGTAGGCAGCTGGATACAAGGGTCTGCAGAAACAATACCTATTGAATAGCTTAGGGTGCTCTCCTAAGTTTCCAGTGACATATGATTTGAATTTCACTTTGTCTTGTTCTTTCTCTTACCTCACCTGGCTTCAATGAAGCTGGAATTAGATGAAATACATGAATGTACTTTATCCAATTAAAACATTTCAAAGAATAAAGCCTTCACGTTTGGAATTATTATCACCACCAGTTTCCATCAAGTATTTATCTAGCACACACCATGTTAAAACTTTCTTCACTGTAGAAGTTTCAGGAAATGTAGATTTATGCCATTCCTGCCCTTAAAAATACAGTAGCTTTTAGTGGGCTCATATTATAAAGAAAATTGAACCCGATCTTAACAGTGATAAAAGGAAAAAATATCTCCAAAAGAGTTAGCATGTCACACAACTCCACAGTAGCTTTAGGCAGCCACACAGACATGACTCTATAGATTTTCTCACATACCTAGCCAAGTAATCAATGCAAAATTGAGGAGCTGTAGATTCCCTAATGGTAGACCTACTGAAAGATGTCAGCCCACCAAATATGGTGAATGTTCCCCCACTGAATGCCATATAATCTCAAATTTTATAATTAGTTATTCCTTCATATTTAAAGAAATTCCTATGCAAGATGCAAATTCATGAGGCAAGAATATAACCACTATCAGGTGTGAACACTTTAGCATGAAATTAGTTTATCTGCTAATTAACTGTGAGATGTGCTTTTAAACAATAGGACAGATAACTGGTTAATTTGATCAGGGCTGTGGTCAAGTAGCCAGAGGATCAGCTCCTACTGGTCAGAATGTATCCAGATAGGCCAATGGATGGAATGTAGAGAGACCATAAAAGTAATAGAAGGCCATCTGTTTAACCTGTTCTCTTGGCTACATGGTTTCATACCACAGAGAATGGGGTTCTTTCTTTTGTCCTCATTCAGTCAGGCAGGGAGGGGAAGTATTCAGGGTTAAATAGATATTATTTATCTGTACCTAGACTTCTCATAAAAACAAAACTTTACCAACAACAAGTTAACAGCTAAGAGTTGTATCTGGGAAAACTAAGTGTCATAAAAACAATGAATATATATAAAACATCCCTGTTTTATATACACACCATGACACTGTTGTCAGTATTGTCATTAACAAGGGCATCATCATCCCTTTGGAATGTCTTCTTTCTGAGAACTGTTATGAAATTGAAGCTCTCAGAACCCCAGGCCTCACTAGCATTTTCACTGAGGTTATCCACTTGAACAATGAAAATATATCAAACTATTCTCTAAGGTGGTAGAGTTCACAGATGACTAATGGGAATACATAAGAGTTATCTCTGACCAGAGAAAACTATTAATAATTAAGGTATTGAAAATAGCAAATAACGTAATAATCTATAAGAAAATTACAGTAAGCTTTCAATTTTACACATTGTATTTTAACCGGTTTATAGATGACCAGAGCTAATTTTCACCTCATAAGTGACTTCTTTCAACAGTAATTATGCTTATAAATTCTGTCTCCAAGAGGGATGACATTAGTGGAGGTTATATTCCAGGATGCAAACTAATTTTGAGCAGAACATATTTAGAAAGTTGACCTACTACAGCATTAAATCATTTAGCATTTTCCAAAGCCAAATTGTGTTCTTAATTTTAGCCTAATGTCTGGTATTATGCATGCCACTACCTATTTGGCCCACTTGACTAACTTTGAACATTCTGTCCCACTTTGTTTTCCAGCCTCCGCAAGCACGTATGTCCCAACGGTGTGCAACGGGCGGGAAGTCCTCGACTCCACCACCTCATCTCTGTGATTGTGAATTGCAGTTCAGTTTTCGTGTTTTTAGACTGTTAGACAAAAGTGCTCACGTGCAGCTCCAGAATGCGGCAGCAGAGCAAAAGAACCCTAGTACCTTTTTTTAGAAACAGTACAATAAATTATTTTTGAGGACTGTACAGTATATAGTGATGTGATAGAACTTTCTAGGCTGATTCTAGTGTCCCTATTATTAACAGTTCCCCCCAGAACATGGAAATAACCATTGTTTACAGAGCTGAGCATTGGTGACAGGGTCTGACAGGGTCAGTCTACTAAAAAAAAAAAAAAAAAAAAAAATACGGTGGCAATATTAGGTAACTTTTTTTCCTATGAAGTTTTTTGTAGGTCCTTGTTGTAACTAATTTAGGATGAGTTTCTATGTTGTATATTAAAGTTACATTATGTGTAACGGATTGATTTTCTCAGCACAAAATAAAAAGCATCTGTATTAATGTAAAGATATTGAGAATAAAACCTTCAAGGTTTTCCAGCATGGTGGATAATGGTTTGTTCTTTTTGAATCACTGGAGGTAATTTGAATATGTGGACTTCAAATCATTTCTACTTTTAATGTTGGAAGAAATTATCTAACTGTGTTTTCTCTTCACATCCACACACACTTGGGACTCAAGCTGTTACACTGCTGGAGAGGCATGAGCAGATCTAGACTCATTTGCAGATCACAATGATCAGAAATTGACTGGAGAGGATACCATAAATATCAAGCCAATTCAGTGGCCAGATGACCATACGCATGTTGGTTTTCTAAGGCCACATCTGTATGATGGCCGAGAGTTTCCTAAATAGGGCTCTCAGGTAAGGAGGAGAGGGTTTCTACATTCTGAATGCAGAGACTGTCACTTCCAGGGAAGCCTGGATGGCTCTCATGTCCAAAAACAACCTGAATTACTAGGAAAGGGATGTGCAAAGCATCTTGCCATTTCTCTGCAAAATCACTCCCACGACTTATAGCTGAATGAGGCAATAAGTTTACAGGCTGTCTATTTACCAGTGCTTTTCCAAAGTACTAGTACTAATGCTCCAGCACAGGTTTGTCACTAAACTCAAATATTTTGCTAGCCTAAATAAAGGAGTGAACAGGGAAAGCAGTGGATAAGCTAACTCTGGCTTATTCTTACCATGTCCTGTCCCATTTCTGTCAACCTTTAAGTCACAAACCATTTATTAACATAGGAAAATTTACTGAGAACCTCACTGTGTGCCAGATCCTGTGCCAGGTACCATGGATGGAGCACGATTTAGCTTCCTGTGGCTGGTGGCAGAAGTTAGTAGAAACTGGGTGGCTTAAAATAACAAAAATTTGTTTTCTCATACCTTATGGAGGCCAGAAGTCTGAACTTAAAGTATCAGGAGGGCCACACTCCCTCAGAGGATCTAAGGGAGAATTCATTCCATGCCTTTTCTAGCTTCTGATGGTTGTCAGCTTCCTTGGCTTGTGGCCACATTGCTCCAATCACTATCTCCATCTTCACATCACCTGCTCTTCTGTGTCTGTCTTGTCCTCTGTGTGTGTCTTACAAGGACACTCGTCATTGGATTTAGGGCCAACATGGATAATATAGGATGATCTCATCCTGAGATTCTTAACTTATTTACATCTATAAAGGCCCTTTTATTCAAAGAAAGTAACATTCTCAGGTTCAAGGGATTAGGATGGAGACAGATCCTTTTGGGGGCCACTATTCATACAAAAAAGAAAAGATGAATAAGACATAGTCCTTAACTTTAAGAAGCATAAAGGCTGGAAAATATTTTAATGGCAATGACCAAGGAAAACAGTACAGGGAAAGAAGAGAATCAAGGATATATTGGCCGGGTGCGGTGGCTCACTCCTGTAATCCTAGCACTCTGGGAGGCTGAGGTGGGCAGATTGCTCGAGGTCAGGAGTTCGTAAGCAGCCTGAGCAAGAGCGAGACCCCGTCTCTACTATAAATAGATAGAAATTAATTGGCCAACTAATATATATAGAAAAAATTAGCCAGGCATGGTGGCGCATGCCTGTAGTCCCAGCTACTCAGGAGGCTGAGGTAGTAGGATTGCTTAAGCCCAGGAGTTTGAGGTTGCTGTGAGCTAGGCTGATGCCATGGCACTCACTCTAGCCTGGGCAACAAAGTGAGACTCTGTATCAAAAAAAAAAAAAAAAAAGATATGAATGAAGGACCCACAGGCTAAATAGTCAGGGCCTGAATAATCAACACATGATGATTCTATTTTTAAACATCCAAAAATAATGAACAGGTGCACCAAAGCCAAGAGGACTGGCCTTGAAGGAAATAAAGGAGTCAGAAATTCTTCTCTTCCTCCTGGGTGCCTTTGAATCAACAACCCAATCAATCAAACCAAAACCTACAAGATGCTCAAAGACAACAGTGTTCACCAGTCTCTGAATTCCCACATCCAAATAAGAACCTGGAATTTGGAGAGTGTAGTAGGGTATATGGGTAATGGATTCAACAGTACTAAATGACAAAAATGAATCCTGCTGTGACTGAAACTGGCAGGAGTGCTAGATAAGCTGTTCAGAATGAGCATCTGCTCAGGATAAAGGCTGCGGAAGGCTGATGGGAGAGAAAATAAACTCAATCCACTGATGGAATGTGACAGTCTGAAGAAGGCAGTATCAGATGCGTTGTGCAGAGACCTGCCTGATGCCTCAAACAATCAAACAGATCATGGATCTTTTTAAACCAGACAATTAGGCTTGTGTATGAATCTTCAGAAAACTGTGTTTTGGGAGCTGGTTTTTGATCTATGCCCACTGTATTCATGCCCTGAAAATGCATTAACTGACAGTTCTCATCATTTTCTTTTTCCTTGCCACAAGCCTTGTTTCTTATTAGAAAGTACATCATCTAACATGTCATCTATAGAAGTATTTTTTAAAAAACATTCAATATATGTATGGAAAATAGCAGCTATAAAATCTTTTATTTTATATAGCCATTTCAAGCAAATGGTTTTTTGTTGATTTCTTTGTTGTTTTCTTTTTTGAAATCCAGTAACATTTCATCCTTCCAGAATATTAAACTGCTTGAGCCAATCCACTTTTGCAAAAACTTTCTGAATTGAAATAACCCAAACAGAATGATGTATCCCACTCATAAAAAATATATATATATATATATATCAAGGCGACGTTAACAACATGGCAGAATAGGAAGCTCCTGACTCTCCCTCCACCCACGAATGTACCAAAAAAAATCTATTCACAGATCAATTCCCTCTGAGAGTCAGAGACCAGTTGAGAGACTCCTACCTACCAGGCAACTGAGAAAACACCCACACTGAGTGGATAGGAAAAGCTGAGGCTCACTCTGGCACAGCCCCCGCCCCCAGCACTGCACCATAAAATAGGGAAAGGAATCCGCATCAACCAGCTTCTCCTGTGGAGAGGAGGGTTTAGACCTCACCTACACCACCCTAACTCTAAGGTTCTCCATGATATGGCTTTTAATTCACCAACTCTGGGAACAGAAGGGATTAGACACATGAGTCTCTCTAGATCATAGGAAAAAGGCAGCAGTATTAAACAGGCATGCAAGTACTTCTAGGGGCTTCATGCCTCAGAAGACATAAAGAGAAGGGGCTTTAAAAATGCAGCCCCCTGTCTCCCTGGAGAGGACACATTCTTCCAGTGGCTACTTGGCAGCCTGGCTTCTAACTAACTTGCATTGGGAGTTAACAGAACAGAGACATAATAGCTCACTGGCAGCCTGAGAAGGAAATCAGTACTTCTCGAGCCTCTTCTCCCAGTTTGCCCCAGAAATAACTCCAAGTCTATTCATCCCTCCTGGAAGGAGTTTGTTCACACATTGAGCACCCCAAATTTTATAGCTTTCACCAAAGGGACTGCATCCTGAACCTCCTGTCTCTGGGAACAGAGGGGACTGGCATATACATGACTCTCTAGGCCACGGGGCAAAAGTGACATTTTATATGGGCAAACAAGCACTTTTGAAGGCTCCATCCCCCAGGAGCAGAGAAGGGGCTTAAATTTAGTCCCATTTCTCCCTGGAAGGGGTTTATAACACACTCTTCCAGTGGCTATTTGGAAACCTAGCTTCTAACTAATTTGCATCAGGGAATTAAAGGGGCAGATAAATATTAACCCACCGCTAGCCTAAGAAGCAGATTGGCACTTCTCCAGCCTCCTCTGTCCATTTTCCCCAGTGATAACTCCAGGTCTTTTAATCCCTCTTCAAAGGAGTTTGTCTGTACATCCAGTGCTCTACTTTTATAGCTTCTACTCAAGGTACTTCATCCTCTAAACATCCTAGCTCTGGCAGCAGAAAGAAGTAAGACCACAGGAAAAATACTGGCAGTTTTATATACATGCATAAGCACTTCCAGAAGCTTCATCCCTGGGAGCAGAGAAGGGACTTTAAAAATGCAGCTGTCTGTTCTTCCCAGAAGGAGTTTATACTACACATTGGGTGCCCCAACATTTAGAGCTACCTCTCAAAGGACTCCATCCTAAACCTCTTAGCTCTGGAGCAGAGAAGACTAGGCATAGGTGAGTCTTCCTAGATGACAGAGCAAAGAGGTGGTTTTAAACAAGCACAGAAACACTTCCAAGGGCTACACCCACTTGGAGCAGTGCAAAAAAGTGGCAGGAGCATGAAGCTACCATTTTCTCTTCAGAAGGAACTTATGGCACATAGTGCCAGTGGCTATTTAATGGCCTGGCTTCTGATGAACTTGCATTGGGGAGCTAATAGGACAAATAAACAATAGCCTTATGGCAGCCAGAGCCAGAGTTTGGAGCTTTTCCTCTGGCTTTCCCAGTGATAAATACAAGTTGACCCTTTCTTCTTGGAAGGAGTTTGGCCATACATCAAGTACCAAAATGTCAATATCTCCCATCCAAGGAACTGCCTCCCTAATGACCTAGCTTTGGGAGTTCAATGGGGTTTTGCATTTATTAATGGCCTTAGACCACGGAAAACAAAGAGGCAAACAAACCAATTTTCAGTAGCCATCTTCCCAGCATCAGAGGGTGCAACCTGAACATGAAGACAGGCATTTTGCCACATATCTCCCCAGCTTAGTGTAAAAGATGGGAGATAAACACCCATGCCCAGCTTCACCATGAAGACAGAAGGAACTAAAACAAACATACACACTCAATACCCCAACCTTTCCAGCTACATCTAAGGAGTCTCGCTTCTACCTTACCAGTCTTGATGTAGTGACAGGATATGACACATTCTCTCACCATAAACTGAGAGAACAGTCTGAACACACACAGAAATTTGAGAAGCAACTTAAAATTTCTG